ACTCCGAAGGATACAACTACAGATAATACTCCGAAGGATACAACTACAGATAATACTCCGAAGGATACAACTACAGATAATACTCCGAAGGATACAACTACAGACAAAACTCCGACGGATACGACACCAGACACGACTCCAATTGAAACAACCAAGACTGATACATCTGCTCCTCCAGAACCTACAAAAGATAATATAATTAACGTAGAAGTTTCAGCAAAAATCCCACCTGTAGAGACAAAAGTTAAAGTTGGGTTAAGAAAGAGACAAGATACTACTTTTAAATTTATTCCTAAAGTCATTGTATTCACTTCTATGAATGAAGGAGAACCTGGTATAAAGGAATTTTATAGTGGTGATAGAGATGTATTGGAAAAATCCATACCTGGATTAACATTATTAAAGTATGAGGATATATATGAATTGAAAGAAATTAATACCGAAATTGCTCGTGCAAAGATCACATCTGGAAAGAGCAAGTGGGATGATTTAGTTACAAGTCCATCATGGATTACTTGGAGTGTTATAATGAGTATAATATACGTTATTATAATCATCGTATCAACGTTTTTATTAGTAAATCATTTTAAACAATTTGGATTCATCGTGAGAAATATTAAAATTTACTGTTATCCTGGAATTACATTCGTTTGCATAATGGGGATCATCAAATTAACGATCGATCCTATTCATGAAGCAGCGATAGATTTATTTGCTTGTGCCCTTATCAATCATTCAAAAGATCTTATATTGTTCATCATTTTTACAATTTTGGAAATTCAATGGAAAAAAGCGGCATCGATCATATGTCAAACACATCAACATTATTCCAAGCATGCATCAAATTTAAGTAAAATATATTCGTATATTTTATCGTTTTGCATAATGATGTTTATATCTGGATTTTTAGTTAAAACATTATCCTTTTTGAATACTGCTACAACTTGGTTTAAAATAGTAATCAAACTATCATTTACGCTGGAGTACGTCTCAATAGGCCTTGTCGGTATCGAATTTATATTATTTGGCTCATATATCTTTACCGCGTTAAGAAAGAAAGTTCAACGACAGAGATTAAGGTATAAAAGGAAAGTTACTGCAATAAAAGTATTAATCATGAACATTTCTTTTGCGTTCGCGATTGTATTTTTTGTGGTTACTGACGCCTTGCAATTTTTAATCCCGACAGTCGTAAATTTATGGTTACACCTAGTGTTGGGAAATGTTGGTACTGCGATAGCTTGTATTATTATAATTTTAGTTTTGCAAGACGAAATAATTGGAAGAAATCTTCAATTGGCTAATAATACCAATCGAAATTTTAACAATTTTAATGATAATTATAACCGTGATAATCGTTCTTCACACAGCTATAGTAGTAGTAGCAGTAGCATGAATCGTTCTTCCATAGAGGTTACATCTACTGTGACGCAAGATATGATTTCAATAAATAGATTATCATTGGATGCCCAACCGGTTAGTACATTATCATCACCAAGACTTTCAATATCATCACCGAGACCTTCAATATCATCACCGAGACCTTCATTATCATCAACAAGACCTCCAAGAAATTTAACTACAATAGTTGAATTGCCTTCAATAAGAAACTTCAGGTAATAGATTATCTAATTAAAGGTTGCATTCTAATACTAGTGAGTCATTGCATCAAACACAAACCTTTTTAAATAATTTCTAAGGTTAGATCAATTTCAATCGTTGGATTTCCTTTTCAGTTGAAATATTAATAGGAATTCATTAGTTGTTTAAAAAAAAAAAAAAATGAATAAAACAGATTAAAAAAGCCATAAATTTTGTTGTCTATCAAGTGATTGAGTTAATTATGTGTAATAAATTCTTCACGTGCTTCCATCAAATATCGAAATTTTTTTTTTTTTTCACGAACCCTCATTAAACATATTAAAAAACCCTAATGTACCTAGCAATAACTTACTCGATAAATATGTAGGGTATGTGGATAAAAAGGACGTTTATGAATCGACTTCGGGCCAGAATTAAGATAATTAGAACACCGATCTTTCAAATTGTAAAAGTTCGTTACATAAAAACAATCTAGATTTTCTGATTAAACCAAACGTTCGGTATATCGAATTTATACTGTAATACCATGAAGGAAGAATTTTCTATTTGCAATTTCTGCATGCCAAGACCTGTACGAAATTTAAATTACGCCAAGCCTAAAATAAATTTCCGACAAAGTGATTCACGTATATTTGTACTGTACATTTATCTTATTTTATTTTTTACCTTATTATGTTTTGAATATCATTTGCCTACTTTATCAAAAATCACTCATCAAATTAATGCGATAATAACGGAAGAGATATAAATCAACTCACACGCGCAAAAAAAGGGGGCGTATAAAACATTGATATTTATCATCCTAAATTTTGTCACGAATCAACTTTTATCAATTGTTATCCAAATTTAGATGTACATCCGATATCACTTTTTAAATGAAGAAAATAATTAGGAATGTTATCAATAGAAAGAAATGTTTGAAATATGTCCAAGGACATTTCTTAAACAAACTATATCAAACAAAGTAAAGGATATTACAAAACCATGATCAACAATGATTTTGAGAACACCAATGTTATATATTATAGATAGATAGATAGATATATGATACACTGTAGTAATAATTTTACATAAGTTAAATTATGTAATCAAAACAATTCTGCACATTCTCCTAAAAAAAAAGGTTGGTTTCATTTCAATTAATTAGATCAACATTATACATTTGTGCGACTAGCACTTTATTGTTTATATTGGTGTTTTCATCTGGTAATTTTTAATTTTTTCAAAACTTAAAAACAACATTCTAATATTGAACAATAAACAAATGAGCACACAAAAATCACAAAAAGAAATGGAATATGAAAATTTCTTGAAAGAATTTCTTGAAGATTTTTATCATAAAATCGCATATCATAGCAATATTGACGATTTTGAGAATTTTGAAAATAAAATTATCAAATGGATTCGCCTTGCTGACGAAATAATGTGCATTGAGTTGATGGTAAATCATCAAAACAAGGATTTATGGTTTTCTAGCATTATTGGATTTTGTTATCAATATGGAATCGGGAAATGTGAAATCGATAAAAGCAAAGCGTTGGACTCATATTTATTTGCTGTTAATATCAAAGATGAAGAAGTTACTAATCATTTAAATGAAACCGATCATAATTATTTTAAAAAATTAAATAGTACCATTGGAAAATATTTGTTAGCATTTTATTACTATAAAGACATTATCGCAAGTAAAAGAAATTCGTTTGATTGGGCTATACAATCCGCAAACGAGGGAATTTCGTCCGCACAATATCAAATAGGAGATTGTTATTATTATGGCAAGGGTGATATTAAAATAAATAGAAAGAAAGCAGTTGAGTGGTACATAAAATCAACAGAAGGAGATAACATTATTGCGCAAAACAAATTAGCATTTTGTTATCAAACTGGTATAGGAACCGATAAAATGGAAAAGAAAGCATTTGAACTTTATTTGAAATCTGCTGAAGGTGGGAATTTAAGTGCACAAAATAATTTAGGATTTTGTTATCAACTTGGCATTGGAACAGATAAAAATAAACAGAAAGCATTTGAACGGTATTTAGAATCTGCCAAAGGAGGTAATCCTGATGCGCAATTTCATTTAGGATACTGTTATCAATACGGTGAAGGAATAAATCAAAACGAGAAGAGTGCATTGAAATGGTATCTGAAATCTGCTGAGGGAGGAAATTTATGTGCACAATTTAATTTAGCAAATTGTTATTTGCACGGGATAGGAACGGATAAGGATGAAAAGAAAGCATTTAAATGGCATTTAAAGTCTGCAGAAAAAAGAAACGCGGTTTCACAACATATTATTGGAGATTGTTATTATCATGGTAGAGGAGTGGGTAAAAATGAAAGGATGGCGTATAAATGGTATCTGAAATCCGCCAAGGGAGGGAACACTAGTGCACAATGTAGTTTGGGACAATGCTATCATTTTGGTATGGGGACAAGTAAAGATAAAGAGAAGGCATTCCGATGGTACTTGATATCTGCCGAAGGTGGAAATCATGACGCACAATATAATTTAGGATCATGCTATTATTACGGTATAGGGACCGATAAAGATAAGGAAAAAGCGTTTAAATTGTATTCGAAATCTGCCGAAGGAGGAAATAATGATGCACAATATTGCTTAGGTTATTGTTATCAACATGGCGAAGGAATAGATAAAGATGAGAAGAAAGCATTTCAATGGTATGAAAAATCGGCTAAAGGAGGAAATAAGACTGGACAATATTATTTAGGTAAATGTTATGCAAAAGGAATAGGAACCGTACAGAATAAGAAAAAGGCAAATAAGTGGCATTTAAAATCTGATCTTATTTCTAATTTAAGTTGGCGTTAATTTTAAATATTTTTTATTTATGATTAAAAACATAATGAAAAATTAATTTCACTAGAAACTAGTAGATATTTGTCTGTCCGCCAACTTTTTAAGAGGGGATTTGTGTTCATAATTAATAATGCTACAAAGTATAGAGAAAAATAATTTTCATAACGTTATTATATAAAACTTGCGAGTTAAAAAAATAATATTTATGATCAAGCGATCTACATTCAGAAAACCAATCTTCTAAAGAATTTTTTTTTTTTTTTTTTTTTGTGCAAATAATGCTTTCTTTAACAAACTATTTAATAAAGTTTGAAACGATTTCGTTCCACGTAAAACTTTGTAACGATCTCTCATTTTTGAAGTATTCTCGATCGAAACGCACATACTAAAACCCTTTTCAATGTTAGAAAATTCGAAATTTATTTATTCTTTTTATTTATAACAAATAATTATACAACGTAATGTTTTGATTTATTTTCTTTTTATTAAAAAATAAAATAAATACTAACTTTATTTAGAAATCAATGGCCGAGGCCCCATTAAGGACAGTTCGATCACGTATATTTAACTTTCAACCAGATTAGAAAGTCTAGTTTAGGTTGTGTTTCTAAAAATAGAATATAATCTAATTTTAGTAATGGGAATAAAAAACAAATAGTCTTTATCGTCAAGAATCAATATGTAAACTAACAAAAATAATTTAATGATCAAAACAGGTATTACTGCAGAAGAAGAGGCATAAGAACGCCATACAAGTAGAAGATGCAATCTTACCACCATTTTTTTTTTTGCATGCATATGATTTGTAAACAATAAAGTATCGCAGTCTATTTTTATTTCAAGGAGATTTGTCCGTCGCTATTTGTTCGTTTGAAGTTTTTTTTTGATCCGACAGAAAATAAAATTTAGTTACGAGGGGTAAAAAATGTGCTCGACAACTTACGCGTGTTCCTTAAATACTCATGCGTAACAGTTTTTTCATCTTCATTTCAAAGATGTCGCACATGTGTCGTAAGTTGTCATGTGACGAAAATTACGATTCGTTTTAATAATGTTACAATAATGCCCAGCATATGGGACCTTTGCAATAGAAAAGGGGGAAACGGCTGGAAAAATAAATAAAATGAGTTAATGCTAAATCTGAACGTATTTTGACCTACAAATCATATTTGGCATATAAAAGTAAAATTGATTTTTTCTGGCAGTTTCCCCCTTTCTATTGCAAAGGTCTCATATGCTTGTAACTTTGTAACTCAAAAATCAACCCTTTGAAATAAATTTTTGTTCTTTTTTAGTTCCGTTTGAAATAAATATTAACTTCGACACGCGCTCCTTGCCTTTTTCTTTTGATATAACATTATTCGTTTTAACTGGTCGTAAAAAGTTTGTCAGTGATCATTTTTATTAAAAAAGTGATAATAATACTCAAATAACTCATTAGCTTTTATTAATTATTCTTGTTGTCATTACAATTTCAATCCCGATGGTATATAAAAACCAAAGTTACAACTGCGTATATTATCTTTTCCTTTGTGTTGACTTTCTTGGGAGCAAATTTTTATATACTTTAAACAAACATCGTATTCATTTAATTTTTAATACTGTAGGTTTTAAAGATCTAAAATATAAAGTCCAAGAAAAAAAACTCAAAGAGTGATTGATAATCAGTCGGAATATCACATTATATCCGCATCAAAAGTTCTACTCGCCCCTATTATTTTCTTATCAAAACAATATCTTTTTAAGCCGCATCATTTTTACATAATCGTCCAACGTCACAAATTAGATTGAAATAGCGAACTAAACCAATTCGCGATGATTTATTTATTGTCAATATAGAAGAAAATGCCAACATCGATCGCAAATTCTGGAATTGATCACTCCCGTCAAAATCATTTTCTATATAATGCTTCAGGAAAATCATATTCATTTTATTTGCTATGCTGTCATTCTTGAGTAATTTTAAGAACTTAATAATTAGAGTTTACCTATAAATAATCTTTTAATGGAAAAATTATTAAACTTGATCGGACTTATGAAAATCATTGGTATAATATAATACATAATCGAAAAAATTGTAATTAAATTATAACCGATCAAAGACGGTAAACTTTAATTGTAGTTGATCTCTGCCGGCTTTTTAAATGTATATGCTCTACTCTTTACGGAAATGGAAGAATCTAGTTATTGGAATCTCGGAATCTCTGAAAATAGCGATAGCGTCGGAATTTGATCTACTGACACTTTGAATGGTATTAATTATAAATGCGATAATATAAAATTTTAATTCTGCTTGATAAGCTCTATGCACCACTAAAGTAATAAAACATATTTCAATAAAAAATGTAATTAAATAAAAAAAATATATAAATAGTTTACATACCTCATCATTGCCACCTAATCTTTCGTTATGACAGACAACTTCTTGAAAAGTATCATTTCCAATAGTAAATTGAAAATCATGACTACGTAAAAACACCTGTTGATCATAGTTCCTAAGATTAAGAATATCATTTGATTTCAAACATCCTTGATAATTTTCTAATTTACTATTATTAAACTTCCATTGAGTATAACTAGTATAACTAATGTTGCGTTTACAACTTACTATAATAAAATAATACATCAATATTAAACACTTATTTATAAAAATATAATTTGAAATAACAAAAATTAATGATTACCTTCTTTGTGCTGAGTTACTGGAGATTTATAATCACGATTATAATTTTCAAGAAAGTAACTGGAACTTTTGTGTTGTAAATATATATTAGTATCAGTATATGAAGCTAATTCTTTACCGCTCGAAAATGTGATATTCCATAAAGCATTTGAATCATAATTACTAACAAAAACCTAAATTTATTAAATAAAATATTATTATCAAATTATCTAACATGAAAAAATCTATAAAAGACGTACCAATTGTGACTTACTTCCAGTTGTATAACGTAAACCACTAATCGAACTTAAATATTTTCCCGTAGCAACGTGTTTTAAAGCTACAATAGATCCGTTTCTAACTAAATTTGATTCATCCATAGCAATTTCCTCAAATTCTTTAATTAATTCATTTGTAGAATTAATTTTGTCTTTTCTCTTAAAAAATTCAGATAAAAAATAACTATTTGAAATAAGTGATTGAATTATGTATTTCTTTTGTTCATCAATATCGTTAATTTCGGCATTATAACATAATTGGCGAAAATTTGAAATAAATTTTGAAGTATCGCCGTCTTCTCTTTCTGAAATATATTTTAATAATTGCAATTTCCTTTTATTTGTATTCTTGAATACTGTAAAGGAAATGTCCTTTTTAAGTGCATTACTAAGTTCTTCAAAACTATCAATTCCACTTGGGAGTTTGATGGTAGCATTTATTAATGAAATTGCAAAAGTTATGTTAGTTCTCAAATTAATAGAAGATGTTTTAAATTCATTGCTAAACTGCAAAAAAGTTTGAATATCATTTATCCACTCATCTGGATGAATATTTCCATTATATTTTGGAAAATTCATTTTTTGCTTTTTTTTTTTTTATTGGCGGAGATTGTCAATCTTATGGCTGATTTTAATAACACGTGAAAATAGAATTTACAATTTGCACAACATCAAAAAATCACACGTCTAATTTATAAACTTTAACTATCTTTCGATTTAACGTTGCACAAAAGAATTCTTTTCTGTGTCATCTACATTTTGAATTAAACTATCAAATAAATAATATATTTACTAATCATAAGAGAAAGAAAAAATTTTAATTTATTATCTTGTAGATTATCCATCTTTTTCTTAAAAAGATTTATTATTTAACTCCAGAAATACCAAATCTTTGGACACGCGATTATATACAGTGACTTCCATAATTATTGTACCACTTCGTTTTTAATTTTTAGATTGTGATACCTGAATAATTAACGTGACTATAAAACTAAAATTTTAATTTTGTAATCGGATTTTTAATGTATTTTAAATTTGAGTATTACTAAATTTGTGGCTTTTTAAAAAAAATTCCTTTATATGCAATTTTTTCGTGGTACAATACTTTTGGAGTCAAAATTAATATAATAAAGTTATGATCGTGCGACGCGTCTTATACATATAAGTAAATTTAAATCAGTAGATCAATTTGTACGCCTTTCTTTTGTTTTAAATATATTATGAAGGCGATTCCACTTCACCAAAGGGAACGTATTTTTACCTTATCCAAAATGGTTTACCAAGTTGTACAATTGCTTCTCGTGAAAATATAAGTCATGCTTCTGTAATAAGAATCAAACAAAGAAAAAAAGAAACAGGCAGCTTTGATGTTTTTCCAAAACCAAGCCACCTAAGAATACTTACAGAACGTCATGATAGGAATATCGCCAGGCTTATTAAGTTGGGTGAATGTACAAATGCTATTCAAATTCAAAAATCTTTAATTTCCAATGAAAATATTCAAATACTATTTGATGCTCATTGAAAGACAAGGTCTTGTAGCTAGAGTTAAAAAAACCATTGCTGTTAAAGAGACAGAAAAGCATAAAAATAATCTGCTCAAAATTATAAGAATTGGACTATAGAAGATTGGCATAAGTAGTGTGGTCAGATGAGAGTAAATTCTTAATTTTTGGCTCAGATGGGAGAGAGTGATGTTGGAAAGATCCAAATTTACCTTTGCAACCATAGCATATTAAACAAACTGTAAAGTTTAGTAGAGGTTCTATAATGATATGGGGTTGTATAGATTTGTTTAGCATTGAAAAATATTGTAAAATTGATGGAAGAATAGATGGAGAAAAATTTTGGAAGATGAGTTTTTAGGAATCCTTAGCGTGTGTAATTTGAATATAAATAATATCATTTTTCAACAGGATAATGACTCAAAATATATAGTAAAAAAATCATATGAGTGGTTTGATGATAATAATATTGAAATTTTAGATTAACCAGCACAATCACTAGACTTAAATCCTATTGAACGTTTGTGAAATGAAATTGATTGTCATTTGTGAGAGCTTTCTGATATTATTAATACAGAAGATTTGTAGAATAAGATACAATTAGTATGGAATCAAATTGATATTAATTTTTATTTAAAGCTAATTGATATTATATCACAACAAATTAAAGATATACTTAAGACTAATAGGGAATATATAAGATAGTGATAGTTTGGTTAAAAAAAATTAGAGTATAATTTGTTAAAAAAATTTTTAAAAATTTATGTTTTTGATTTTATTTGTTATATACGTCAAAAGTATTGTATCATAAAATTTATGGTTATGAAAGAATTTTTTTTAAAATTATAAATAAAAAGAAATTTGAATTTGAATTTATTATAAAGAAAGATCCAGATAATACATTAATTAAATTTGCAAATCATTCGATCATTGAATTTTTATTTATTATAATCTAAAAATTACAAATAAAGTGATACAATAATTATAGAAGTCACTGTATGTTTAATATGACGTAACATAAACTAACCTTAACTTACACTAATACTAATCACACAAGTGAGGATAATAGCTATGATAAATAACGAGTGACAAATAGGATTTTGATTATTACACAGGAAAATCCTTATATTAAATAAATTAGCTAATACAGTATATTTATTATAGTTAATCCAAAAATGATTCTATATATTATGCAATAAATCTTTTATATATAGTTTGCAATATAAATATCTGAAATTTATCATGATATATAAAATATTGCAAATTCTATTTTATTTTTAATTCATATTATTAATAGCTTATAATATGCAAATAAAAAATTTAATAATTTATTGTATACTTTTTTTCTATAATTATACTAATCTAATATAAAATACTATCAGCTAAATTAAAGAAATATTTTGATAGAGATTTTTTATTTTCTTTAAATTATACCTTGAAAAGCATTCGCACTAAGTATTTTTTTTCCCTAATTCAATCATTAATCTTTTCTTTTATTTTCTCTTTAAAAATTGCCCATAAATTTTTTATTAGATTTAAGTCAAAATATTATTCATCACTAAAGATGGCATTGCAACGTTGTGACACTTATTTGTCACCTGTTGCAACTTAAATTTTAATAATGTTGCAATTCATTGCAACATTGTGATGCTTATTTGTCACCTGTTGCAACTAATTAAGGCGTTATCTTTATTCATCACAAAAATTGATGGATATGATTTACATTATTTTGTTGAAAATGTCATCTATCATCAGCATGATAAATATTAGAAAGTAGTTATAATTAAAGAATTTTATGATATTTTAGCTAAAGAATTGCTATTTTAATTTTTATATTAGTTAAACAGAAATTAATATGATAATACCTTTTTTGTATTAATAAAATTATAGATAATTATATTGTAAACTGTATATGTAACTTAAAAAAAAGTTCTATTATTTTATTATAAAAATAATTAAAAAATTAAAAATTAAAAAATTAAACAATAAATAATATTAAAAATAAAAAATATTTTAATAAAAATAGAATATATAAATTATAAGTCAAATAACATATATAAACTTATTATAAGATTTAATGCAAAATTGTATAATATTAAGATTAGTTTAAAGTTAAATTAAGTTGTTATTTTTTATATAACATCATATTCCTATTATATTTTATATTTGAGTAGACTTACAGCAAAAGATAAAGTTTAGATAATTAATTTTTGAAATTTTATGATAATTATTTATTTATTAATTTTGTCTTTATAAGGTAATCTTTTTTATAAATTATTTAATAAAAAAGTCTGCAAATTGATTTTTTTCATTATATATTACTATAAATTTTGTAAATTCATTTTACTAAAGATAGACTTGAAAGAAGATTACAAAAAAAACTACAATTTAATCTTTTTTCTATAATGCTAATAATTTTATCATTTACAATTAGTTATAAATTTCTTTTTTAAAAATATAAGAAAAATTATATAAAGAAATTGTATCCTATATAAATTTACCCTTTCATGATATTACTTATTTAAAATTTAAAACTTCAAAATAAACAGAAATTAAATTTTCATATAATAAATCAATTTTTTTATTTATTTTTTATTTTTTTTATATAATATAATATTATAAATAAAATTTTATTGATTTAAAAAGTAATTTTTTAAATTTGTTATTTTTTATTATTTTTCTTCTAAACTTTATCCCTTAGATTGTCTAGTAGGCAAATTTGCTTGCGAACTTAAAAAAATATGTTATTTTTTTTAATAAAATATTAAATATTAATTTTAGTAATATAATAATAATATGAA